TCCATCTCTGGCATCACTGCTTCTCTGGGTAGGGTCTTGCACTCCGTTCTTGTCCCTTGATTCCATCTTCTTTTGATGCTTTCTTCAGCATTCAAACTTTCTGCCCATTAGGTGTCGAGTTGGCTCCAACTCACAGCACCCTTCTACAATACATAACAAAATGAAACACTGTTTGGTCCTACGCCATCCTCTCAGTTGTTATGTTCGAGCCCATTGCTGCTTGTCACTGTGTCATGCAATCTCATTGGGGATCTTTTTTTCCCCCACTGACTCCACTTTGCCAAGCCTGATGCCCTTCTGCAGGGACTAGTCCCTCTTGATAACATGTCCGAAATACAAGACATGAAGCCTCACCATCCTGGCCTCGAAGGAGCATTCTGGCTGCACTTCTTCCAAGACAGATTGGTTTGTTCTTTTGGCAGTCCACAGGACTTTCATTTCTACCAGCACCATAATTTAAATGCATTGATTCTTCTCCATTCTTTCTTACTCATTGCCCAGCTTTCACATGCATATAACTGTAAGTACCTCGACCTGGGTCAGGCACACCTTAGTTCTCAAACTGACACCCCTGTTCTTTAACATTTTTAAAGGTCTTCTACAGATTTGCCTAAACGTCATTTGATTTCTTTTTCGCTGCTTCCATGAGTATTTATGGTTGATCTGAACAAAATGACGTCTTTGACAACTTCAATCTTTTCTGCATTTATCATGATGTTATTTATTGGTCCATTTGTGAGCTTTTTTTTTTTGCATTGAGGTGCAAGCCATTACTGAAGGCTGCAGTCTTTGATCTTCATCAGTAAGGATTTTAAATCCTCTTTACTCCAGCAAGCAAGGCTGTATCATCTGCATATTAATGAGTCTTCCTCCAATCCTGATGCCACATTCTTTTTGATACAATGCACTTCTTGGATCATCTGCTCACCATACAAATTGAATAAGTATAGTGAAAGAACGCAACCCTGGCACCCACCTTCCCTGATTGTAAACCATTCAGGGTCCCTGTGTTCTGTCAGGTGACTGCCTCTTGGTCTGTGGACAGGTTGTTAGGAGCGTAGTGAAGGGTTCTGGCATTCCCATTCTTTACAATGTTACCCACTGTTCATTAGGATCCACACAGTCAGTAAAGTACAAGTAAACACCTGTCTAGTATTCTCTGCTTCCAGCCAAGATCCATCTTACGTCAGTAATGATATCCCGCGGTCCACGTCCTCTTCTGAATCAGCTTGAATTTCTGTCAGTCCCTTGTTTGATGTACTACTACAGCTGTTTTAAATGATCTTCATCAAACTTTTGCTTGCATGTATATTAATGATATTGGGTCATCTTCCTTTGGAATGAGCCAGAGAGCTGTCTTTCAGA